CGATTGGTTCGGCAAGCTCAGGGTCAATATTTGGAACTGGTGTGGACCCACTAGTTCCCTGCTCCAATCCTCCACCGTCTGATTATCAACTAAATTGGGTTTTTGGAAACAAGCTAATTAATCCTTCAACTGCCACCCATGAAGAGCTAACAAGCAGCACGACTTCACTGCCTTTAAGCAGTGTTAATAGTAATAAGGAAGGGACAGGAAGTCAAACAGTGAATGTTCCATCTCTGTACACCAATCAACACCAGTCAATATCCCATCACACACATAGTATGTCAGCCACAGCTTTGTTGCAGAAAGCTGCCCAGATGGGTGCAACATCGACTGACCCAATATTTCTAGGGAGTTTTGGATTAAAGTGCAGTAACAGTCAGGGACAAAAGAGTAATAAGCACTGTGGATTAATGTATGGTTCAAACCCTACAGATCATCATTTGGATCAGAACTCAACAAACAACGATGATATTTCAACATGGAACCAGCTGCAGATGTACCCTGCAGCAAAACGCCGACACACGCTGAGTACTCATGATCAAGATCAAGTTGCAGCAGGTGGAGGGGAAACAAGGGATTTCTTAGGGGTTGGTGTACAACCTGCCATCTGTCATCCACCATCAATCAATGGCTGGACCTGATTACATGGGCTTTCTTTTTTCTGGGTGGAAAGCAAAGTTGTTCTTGAGGATAATAAAGTGCAAAAGAAAATTTGAGAATTTAGTATTTGGAAACTTTGCAAGAAGGGAAAAGGTATGATTGAGCGGGTGACGGAGGGGGTAAAAAGCTTGGTTAGAAAAACTATTGAAGAGTTGAAAGAAGGGAGATCCATGCATATTCTGTTGAAGCCCTGAACGCTTTTTAAAAAAATGGTGGGGCTTTAGTTTTAATTTTGAGATAAAAGGAGTGTGGAGTAGTGGGAGCAAGCAAGAAACTCTTTTAAGCTCCATTATTGCAATATTGTTTCATCTCTCTCTCTCTCTCTCTCTCTCCCCCTCATGTGCCTCTTGTCTTGTCAAACACTGGAATTAAAAGACCATTTCCAGTGGCAAATTAAAGCTTTTGATTCTGGTACAAGTAGGCATTCATATAGGCCCTTTGTTTAAAATAAACCAATTAATTAATGTTATAGCCTTTCCATCCTTCAATATTCTATATCCATGGTGCGTGCGCGCACGCACACACACACATCTATATATAACGCAAGATTTAGCAATATATATTTATCATATATTGCACACAGGAAATGGAGGGAAACCATCTAAGTTTCCATATATTCTAGTAGATAACATTCTATATAATATCATTATAGACTTCCTTCATCATGAGTAATAATAATTTATCATTATATATATGTAGAAATAAATAATAGTAGTAATCTTGAGAAGATTTAATGGTGTTCATGAAGTTCACAAATGTCCCGGTGATTATAGGCATCAAATAAACAACAAGAATAGGAGCATATGGCTTGTCCTATATGTTGTACAGACCGGACATGAGGAAAAGAAAAATGAGAGTCAAAAGGAAAAGAAGGAAAGTGTCATAAAGCGAAAAGGAAGCAGGA